ATAATGCGCTTCGGTATTTATTAGTAATTTCCAAAAAATTAAGCACTGCCTCAGATGATACATGGATTAACCAGACCGATGGAAGCAGAGTTCTAGCCATTTGCTACCGTCCTCGTGGAGATAAAAAGCTCTAAAAGTATTACAAGGAGAGCAAGAAAAGCTTGCGTCTTCTTTGAAAGAATAAATTTGGTGCTTCCGAAGACGACAGGTAGTAAATTATCGATACATTTGAATATCCGTGCCGAGATTACTCAGAACTAGCTGATATCGGGAATACGAGCAGAGGAAGGGCCACTCTATCATCAGATGAAACGGAGGGATTTTTTGTCACGCATATGACAGCATATCTTGAATTCGAGGAAGAGAACCTTGACACGAACACCAAGACCAATGGGCGATTATGTGAATCCAGCCACAATTTACCATGACTTATTTTCATAGGAAAACTTACAGCGACATCCTCAGAGCGGCGCATATGATCGCTATTGGAAATTCCATTCCTACATCGGAGAATAGATGTTGCCTGATGAGGATGAGCAGCGTAATCTCGACGGTCGTGCGTTCTGCGCGTGAAAAGTATGTTAATGAGCATTCTCTAATCGTCCAGTAAATTCAAATTCTTACTTATGGTGGGATTTTTCTGTTCTAAGTCGGAATCGGTTGCTCCCTTGGAGCCACGGTTTCCGAACTGTGGGGTCGCGAGAAATTCCTCATTGCACTTGGAGATTTTCCGTCTCTAATCGATGGTCATTGTAAGGCCAGCAGCACGCGACTCACTCGAACGGAAGTAAAACTACAGAGCAGGTCGGATAAGTTTTTACATTTTAATTTGAATGCCCTTCCTCGCTCTGAAATGCAATGGTCGTGAAATATTTGCAATTTGGCTAGTGGGTCGCGATCGAAGTATTGGAAGCCGCTGCGTTAGAGGAAGGAATTCGTGTCTTCCCGCGAGACGTTTCGGTTTATCATCTTTGTAGCGCTTCCGTTCCTATAGCCCTCATCAGGCGTTAGGCTATTACCAAATAAATACCTTCTCTTCCCATAGGAGCCCCATTATCTTATCTCTTTGAACCCTAGCGTCCATACCATACCCTAGGTTCTAAGGAAGAACCTAGGGTATAACCCTAGGTTTCTGGGCAATTTATTGCAAAATTGGTTCATTCGATCTAATTCAGTATAAACACATTCATTGTGGTTTTTTGACCAGAACAATAGTCGGTGCCCGACGGTGATTGGTCAAGCCGTTTCCTGACAACGCGTCATAGCAACTGTCAGGCCGTTTTAGCGGCCTGGCGGGTCAGAGCACCTGTTGCTCAGACCAGAAAACCGGCCTGACGGGTTCAAAGGGTTAAACATACAGTAGGTGGAGGGGGATAGCGACTAGTGAGAACAAACGGGTGGCCTTCGATGGGTGGCTTTTCCACATTTTGCTGTCAAGAGGGATCAAGGGTGAAAACCTTTTCTCAAATCCTTCCTTAACATTTCCAGTACGATCCTTACGGTTTTGAAGTTGATTTGAATTTGAAGTTGGTTCTATTTATATTTGACCTTGAAGATAAACTTTTTTTGAGTTTAGAAGCTTCAGGCGATTCTCAAACCTGAATATAGGTTACAGTCGCCGTAATTTCTTGTGATCACTTTGGACCAGGTCCGAAATGATCACTATAAGTGGCTGATCAGACAGCTAGTTGGAGAGACGATGGTTGAGAGATTCGAAGGCTATTCTGATGCCTGTCTCTGCCCCATCAGGAGCGAATCATGTGCAATAAGGAAAATCCTTCTGGCCCTTTTCATCTCATTCAAGTTTCCACTTCCCAAATTTCCCACCAAATTTATGTGTTGAGCCTTTCTTATTTATGTCTTTGCATAAATTGTGAAGTTGAGCCGGATGACGCAGAAATAAGCAAGGGAAGGAAAGGAAACGCTTTCCATATTCAAGTCCGTGCCAGAAGGAAAATTGCATGAGAGAACCCTGCAAACCCCTCGCCCATTCTTCGGTTTCGGATCTGCATCACTCATCGACCGGATATCACTCCTGATCCTGATTGAACGGTTGTCACTTTCCGAATTCGAGGATCATAGCGATGACGATCACAAATGCGGCATCCATTCGGATAAACTTCATTCTCTCGTGATGCGGTAGTACCTTCTCCACTCAATTAGATTTCACGTGATTTTGAGCTCTCCGGGCCGCCATAGAGGTCGGCGGCCACTCCTTCATGTCCCGCTGGGGTCGAGTAGATTTCTCTTTTACAGGGTATGGCAAGAAAAAAAAGACCTCCCGACTTTCAACCTTCATAACTCTGCACGCTACTGAAGCCAATCTTACGAAACTTGTTCTGAACAGAGACCGATATGTTTTGCCTTCTCCCTGGAAATTTCATGCAAATTCGCTTCCCACAGCAAGGATGAATGTAATAAAAAAAGAAATCGAAAAAAGACAGGTGACTCCAACCCCTGCAGAAAGACAAGACTCCGCGTATGCACCCTGAGCACAAGGGCTTTTCTCATTCAATTCTCACCAGCAAGGATCTCAGTCCATTTTCAGCCTCCAACCTTGAATAATTGCTCATAGCCTTGCTTTGGTGCTAGGAATTTAAATTCCAAAGTTTCATGCATACATACCTGCATACGTAAGGTGCAGGTTCGTGAAAATAGCAATGGTAACTTCAGAGATTTTTGGTTGAAATTCGGGTGGTCTTTCTTGTCATACCCTGTAGAATCAATCTTCTTCCCTAGGGTGATGGATGGATAACGTTCTTCTTGCAAGTTTTTTCTCAGGCAACGCATTGTGTTCGTGATCCCCATGACCTCGTGAACTACATAATGTTTCGCGCAGACTAAAGCATATAACGGGTACTAAAAAAAGAAACCGGAGAGCATCATCACGCAAGTGGGCCATCCCATACCAACTCACCCAGGGTGGCGAGAATGGTATTCGACCAGCACAGATTCCTTTGTGCGGTACGTTCTTTCTACATAGCTCATACACCTAAGTTGAGCTAGTTGAAATATTTATGGGGGGGGGGGGAAATAACTCAAATCGTAGGGCAGAGATGGATACAGCTTTCACCTGCCTCGATCGCCTCCATGTCCGAGGAGATGGATGACCGCGTGTGCGATCAATCGCTTCCTTTGCATGCATGGTAGCATGGTGGGGAGGAAAGTCCGCCTGCAAAAATTCACTTGGACCCAATATCTTGACGGCGAAGAGAAATGAATGAAAGTAGATTTCCTTTCATTTTGCCAGTATGTGAGATCGACAGGATTAGCGGAGTGAAGGCTTTTTCTTACTTTTCTTTCTTACTTTTTCTCTTTGGATTGTCTACGATCAAAAATAAATATAGATGTGGTAAAAGAAGCACCTCATTTTCAAAGACTTTTTCTTCCCTTCCTGCACCTTCTCCCCTATTTAGAAGAATGCGACATGTCGTCTCTATTTCCTCAATGAATGATGCAAAATCACTAGAGCAATATTTAAAAACGAATCAGAATAAGGATTGAGACTTACTAGGTCTAGGTTCACTCTACAGGTGAGGCCTAGGCTAACCTTTTCGCAGCCAAAAGAATCTGAACTCTATAGAGTTTGGACCAATCAGACCTTTAACGTTAGGCCTATGAAGGCAAGGGCGTGTAACATAAAAGGCCAATGGTGGACCTATTGCTAGTTTCTCGCACCATCTGGATTCCAAGCCTATGGACAGACTGCTTCACTGACTCTAAAGTTCAAATCGACGTTGGACGCCATGATGAGTCAGTGATGTTCATGGACGGTAGGTCTACGATAAGCCACATCGATCGACAGACCCTTTGGCCAGCGGCCATAGGGTCTGTCTCTCGCAACTCCGTCAACTCGGGGCTAAAACATGTCATACATTACGAACGTTAGAGTCGTTCGTCGACATAACAGCAGGACAACTCATAAATCCGACAGAAGTCCAGCGCGAGTGTCCGGCAACCTGGCTAAAAAGGGTATCCTGCTTCCTCCACCCTCCAACGGAAAAGGATGTTCAAGCTTTTTGGAGTAGTTCTGCGCCCAGAGGGCATAGTGCATGCACAACTTCGTTCCTCCAACTGCTCCTGGGAATTCGAACTGGATTTCTGACATTGCAATGGGTTGAAGATCGGGTTCACTGCTGGAACTAGATATTTGGGCATCTGGGGATTTGCAGGATTCTGATATTGCAGCATTTCTGCATTCACTGAATCATAGTTGCTCCCAGATCGAATTCCATTTGTACAAAATCTGTGCTGAGATCTGTGGAAGTTGCTCCCCCTTCCCCCTCCCCCACCTCCTACCTCCCTTCCAGTTCTGAGATGCTTGACTAAAATTCTTTTTGAAAACCTGGAACTTAAACTCCTGGTTATACGTTCATCTCCTCGTCCTTCTCAAAAACAGGTAACAAAACTTCTTTACTATTTCACAGTGACGTCGGCTCATACGAAGGGGGGAAGGAAAATAAATTCGTCTCAAAGTGGCCTGTCGACAGAGCCTATTTTTTGGGAGAGGGTGGATGATGCGCGAAAAAAAAATGGATTCAGAGTGCTGTCGAATCTGGTTTCTCAGTTGGCAGAAGCCATTGGTTGTCATTTACTTTTCGACAAAGGTTCTGTTTTGGTCGTATCACTTGACATGCATCAGATCGGTGAAACTCTAACTGATCTGATTTCGCAGTGGTTCCCGATTAGAATCGATTTGAGGGATATGATTTCCCGCAGGAATCCATTATGAATTCAGTTCAGTTTAAAGTTAAAAGGATCTGATGCATGCCACCTATTGTCTAACTCACAACTGACTTTTATAATAAAAAAGTCGAATGAGTTGAAAAGGAGGTTGGAAGGGTTCAAACTTCGCTAAAGTTATCTTGGTGTGGTTCTGACCGAAGTGATCCTTCGACGACGAAGAAAATCCTGGATGATTCTGAGCGAGCAGACACGAAGACGAGTGAATCATCGCTTCTTAGGAACTGGTTTGGCGTTTGCAAAAGAGAGGGCAGGAATGCAATCGGTACGTTTATTGAACAGAACAACGACGAAAAATGACGATAACAACGAACAACGGGTGACTTTAGCCGTCGACGTCGGTCGGACGACGAACGAGATGAACGTGGATGGAGACGAAGGGAAGATGACGGGCTTGGCAGGATTGGCAGGCTTTTGTACCTTCTTTCTCGTTTCCGGACTAGGAGAGCCGCTTACCGCCCGACTGCTCCTTGGGTTGCGCCGAACCCGCCTGTATACGGGTGAAAGTGCACGAAACGTCAGTTCTTCCGAGTCCATTCTTTCTCCTTAGACGAGGGTGGGGCAGATATTAGGTTTTAAAAAGAGCGAGACCAGAGCGAGAAAGGTTTGAGAGAATTCTCTCTATCATCTAGTGAAAGAAAATATGGAAAACGTAAAGCGGGAAATTGAAATGCCCGTCTCTTCTGAAAATATGCGCTGCTGGGAGAGCGCATCAGAAAGCCTACGAACATTATTACGCACAAATCCGTATCGTATGAGAAGGGAACTGACCTCCATAATTGCCTCCGTAGGTGCCGCCAAAAGGATTGCTGCCACCGAAGGAGCCGCCGTACGCCCCACCGACGCTTCCACCCGTAGCACCTCCACCGGGAGCCCCACCCGCCGCTCCTTGGGTGGATCCAAATCCACCTCCGTAATTTCCTCCGTAGGTGCCGCCAAAAGGATTGCTACCGCCGAAGCTGCCACCGTATGCACCTCCCGCTGCTCCACCGCCTGCTCCACCGCCAGGGGCGATGGGGAGCGGTTGGGGCTGGACACCGCCGCCAAGACCACCGCCATGACCGCCACCATAACCGCCTCCGAGGCCGCCGCCATGACCGCCTCCAAGACCGCCGCCATGACCGCCTCCGAGGCCGCCACCATGACCGCCGCCATAACCGCCGCCATGACCGCCGCCATGACCGCCGCCATGACCGCCGCCACGACCGCCTCCGAAGCCAGAACCACCGCCATAACCGCCACCGCCACCGTGACCGTGGCCACGATGCCCTCCATAGTATCCCCCACGCCCATGACCACCATAGAAACCTCGGCGGTGCGGGAAGGAGGCTGCCATGCACACCACGGCCATGGCGACGAAAACCTGGAAAAAGGACATTGGAAAACGTCTCATTGGGCATGCCAAAGACTCAACTCGGATGTCGGCACCCCAGAGAATCAGCATGCATCGACTAAAATTGGACGCTGCGGGGAAGCGCATTCAGAGATATGCACTTAAAAAAAAAATTACGGAAAGATGTGAAAGTGCACTGTCATGGCATTACGAGCTGAAAGGTTTCACTCCCTTTCGATATAAATCAATGACCCCAGCCATTATCACGCTGAAGGTTATTGCAGTTCCACGAGAGCCGAAGACGTGGAAGTTGGAACCCCTTCCTCCCGAGTGTCGATTCCACTCACCTCATCTCGTCGTTTTCTAAACCTTTCGGTTAATGAATCCCGAAACCGCGAGGAACGGATGCATCCGAACGGGTCTGTCTGCGCAGTGAGATACCTATCTCTTTATTTTTTTTTTGCCGCAGGATGCTGCTGTCGTATTGTCGTTCGATAACACGAAAACAGATCAATTATATGAAGAAGAGAAGAAAGGCGGAGTAAATCGGGAGCAGCTTCATTTCCAGGGATTCCACCGAGAAAAAGGAACGAGACGCCTGTGATGCCTCCGAGCGCGGAGCTTCCCGAATCGATCCCGAATTCTTCATTCGATGCCCAATGACTATCGATCGAATATCATGTAACAAAATATGACTATATTATGTCATGACTTATATAATAAGTTGTATCATATCCCGGACCGAATAAATACTTATCGGTAAGTGGAAAAACTTGGTCGGCGCGGGCCATAAATTGGGGAATGCGAAAGACGGTCTTACCGATTGAAGAAGATTCATGTCGAACAGTACTTGTGGAACGGACGGACGCAAAACGCACCGGGAACGGAAACCTGAATCCAACTGACCGGGGCTGACGCTCCGAGGCCCATTTTAATGGGGAGCGATGACGTCACGAGGCTGCGGTCGTGGGGAAATCCCGGAGAGGCGAGATGCCTCGGGGGGATTTTTCGGACTCGGATGAAGGACGACGGGGAAAACCGGTTCCGAGGGAATCCCTCGTGATTATCGAGATTATCTGCGCTGACGGGCGGATTCGTGCCGCGAAATGACGCCATTTTCAAGGTCATACGGGACGTGGGCACCTTCCACGGAAAAGAATTGCGCCGAGTTTTTCTTGGAAAACGCCAAGGGCGTAAAACAAAAGACCGTGTCGTTAATTTCGCACGAGTTAAAAGGTTTGGAGAAATGGAAGAGGCTTTCGGGTCGTCGTCCGAGCACAAAGACCGACGGAAAGAGTTTCCTTCGCAATCTCGGAGGAACGAAACGGGAAAAACGGGAGACTGGAAATTGCGTTCGAATGGATTTTATTGCCGCTGGAGAACGAGAAAGAGGTGAACGGATTTTTTTCATTGTAAGTTTGAGGGCGGAGTTCTTGGCGAGTTTAGGCTTTTTTTCGGGGAGATTTGAAACGTTCTTGTTCCCGGAACCAATTTCGGACTTCCGAGTCGGCCGTTTCGAGGCCCGAAAAAGAAATTCAACTGGGACGAAATCCAGGAAAAGCAGGGGAGGAAACCCGCAAGACCTTAAAGTCTTTGTCGTATCGCTTCTTTGTGTCCTCTCGAGCGGGGTCTCATGCGTGAAATACCAGAACGCCTCGAGTGTGTTATGCAGTTTCTCAAGGTCGTGCACAAAAAAAAGGGAAAATAAACACAGCTCACTTTTTCAATATTTTTTTCTCTCTCCTTTTTTTAATATCGGCAGCGACGTTCCGCACGAACGACTGCGAGTGATCTCTCGAAGCCTCTCCGTCTCGGAATGCCGAAAGTCTTCATTCTTCCTGCGAGTTCCGGATCCAAGTTCCGAGAGGAGAGAACCGGTTTATCTGCGAAACGTTCGCTTCTCCGGCTCCGAAAAGGGTGGATATTCTCGCGAACATCGTCTCGGAAGCGAGAAAAAGGGGGATGGAAGGCGTAAACGCGTAATTCCCACGGTTGAGACGATCTCGAAGGAAAAGGAAAAGGGCCTGTGAGCATTAGAACAGCTCTTCCCACTTTTTTTATTATAATGAACCAGTTTCTCTTTCAGTTCTTCCATCGTTCCTCATCCAGCGAGATCCAAGGAGGCAGGGAATCTTTGCCAGCAATTTCTGCTCTACGAGGTTTATTCGGAGAAAGGAAGAGGCGCATATCGAGATTCCGTGTCGAGGACGGACGCCTTAAGGCGCGGGGAGCAGATATGAAAAAAAGAAAATAATTTACCTGGGCGAGGCAGGCGGATCTACGATAACGTTAGCGGAAATCCGGGCTCTTAGACGTTCGTTTGTTCTGTGCTTTCGCCGTAAGATGCCACCACCGTACAGGCACCGTCCGTCCGTGTCGCGGCGAAAGCATTCGTACGCTGTGGAATTGCGAGCGGTTTTAATCTGCTGTGGGCTTAGCGGCGGACCTCACCGAGGAGTGGAGGAGGAGCCACCCCCTACCGGACACCTCCCACCTCCAAGAGACCTCCCCGGACCGGACTTCCGAATCTCACCGGTACTCATCTAATTGGAGTCAGTACATATATAATAGGGCCCTTTTACGTACACGGAGAACACGTAATCCCATTCGGCGGCCGCGCCCACACTACGCATTACAGCGGTGGATACAGAAATGATTGAATGGGGTTTTCCTCGTTCCTGGCGTTTCCCAAGTTCCAACACCCTCCCCTCCCCCCGTGTCCCTGGCCACCTACCGCCACCCTCCCCTCGCCCCGTGTCCCTGGCCACCTACCGCCACCCTCTGCCCGATCGCTTTTTTCATTTTTCGTCTGTGGTAAAACCTGAAGATCTATTTCATAGGCTTGAATTAAAATTAATTTGTGTTTTTAAGATAAATAAATAAAATAAAATGCGAATCTTGCCATAGGGGGCGGTCATTTCACCCTTGGATCCGCCACTGCCGAACTTAACCCTAAACCGGCGGAGTGGTTCCGTCGGACCCATTTTTGACTTCCTCTAAATAAAATGTTGCGTTCCTTTCTCGTGTCAGATCAGATACTCCGCCTATTCTTCGACCACCCCCATTCGCCCCTTCGTGCCCCCATGCGGAAAGGCACATAACGTGAATTTTTAGTTAGACGCTAGTCGTATGACGTGAATGCCAGGTGGATCCGTCGGACCCATCTCGGCCGTCTGCGTTGTTCCTTCCAGCCGGCCTAACGAGAGTTAAAGGTTCGGGGTTAAGGGTTCAGGGTTAAGGGTTCGGGGTTAAGGGTTCAGGTATAGGCATAAATGGTAAGAGACTTTTTTAGGTGTCGCTCTACGAGCGATTCGTATATTGCTTCCTCTTTCTGTTTTCTCCGCGAAATTCACGGAAGGAGGGACGACATCGTCTCGAGTTTAGCATTTACCGCCCAAAGAATATAAAATTTGAAGCGGTTCTCTCTCGTTCTATCGTTACGTAACCGAAATGACGAGATCTCCGTCCTTCTATTTCCCTATTCCTCGAATTTTTCTCTATTGGAGCCGAGACGAAATGCGCCTCGCCACGAGCAGTCCTGGAAAATTTCCAATGCGAGTGGAATTCCCGACTTAAATCATCGCTCCTTTTTTTTTTGCACGCAGAATCGATGCGACTTCGCCGTTAATCCATTCCGAGTGATGGACGAGCCCACGCGAGCCCACGCGAGCCCACATGAGCCCACGCGAGCCCACGCCTTCCACGCGTGAGACTCCAGAGTATTTGACGCTGACGTCATAACGAACCGTGTGCAACCTTGAGCAGCGTTTCGACGGAATCGAGCATAAAAAACGCTGCTCTCACAAATAGCAAAGCGATTTCCGCAAGTTTTAGGCTGTTTTATGGGTAAATTATGGAAACGAAGAGGCGACGCAAATTCGTCCCATCATGGTGCGAGTTGATCTTTGGTAACCAGTGGTTCGAGAAACGCCAGCTAGTGAGCTCGCAAGAATTTGAAACGACAAGGGGAATGCGAACTGATATTTTTTATGTTTGTGTGATGTAAGACGTACCCCGTCGAAAGGGTGAACACCATTCCCCGTTCCCCTTGTGCCTCTTGTACTTGCCTGCCCTGGGCACGATCTGGCCCCGGTCGATCTCTCCTTAAACGGCGAGGTTCTCGCCGCTTAGCCGTTCGCTTCGACGCCTGTCCTTTTGTGCTCGAGAGAGACATCAGCGATCGGCGATCGCGGCCGACCGGTGAAGTCGTGGAATCCTCTTCCGATCCCGTTCGGTCTCGGCCTTCCAAGCTCGAACCTTGCCACTCGTCTCCCGGTGACCTCCATCGGAGGACGTTCGCTCGCGTTCTCGAGAACTCCTACCGACTCCGAAGGTCTGCAGTCGTTAAATCGCGCCGACGCATCCGTCGTTCCTCGCTCGCCACGCGATCCGTTCGTGCGGGTCGTCCGTAACGGCGTTAGAAAAAGCGTCCGATACTCTCCCCACCGCCGTGCAAGGCGTCGGGAAGCTCTTTCAGGTTTACACATTTCGGAAGAAATCGGTTTCCACGGGGATTTACGATCATCCGGACTCGATGAGCGAATCCTTGACTTTTATGGTGAAATCCAAATTCCTAAGTTCAAAGGTTTCCCGTTTGGTTTGTTTGCAGATGTACGAGGTCTGATCAAAAAGCTCTAAGACTTTATTTTTTATGGCGCTCTGGTGACTCTTTCTGACTGCTATCCTTTAAAATAGTCCTCTTCGGCATCTACACAAATTTTCCGGAGTTTCTTCAGCCACTGGAAGCATTGCTGACACTTATCTTTTGGAGTCATCAACAGCGGTCGCGGCGCGTTCGTAATGTTGTTTTAAATGTTCTGCGATTTCCTTTCTTTTGCAATTTCAGCAGTTTCTGACCTACCCCGCAATCCCGTGCTTCATCAGCCATCCAACTCGTCGGGGTTTAGCTCCTAGTAATTTATTTTTGTTCCCTAAACTAAAGGATGTGCTGAAATGAAGGAGATTTTAGGCAACGTCTTCAAATTTAAGGTAATGGTAATTCTCTTTCAAAGAATTAAATGAAACACAGCTGGAATTTTCAGCGGCCATATTTCGAATCAATAATATTGCGTGCACCCCGCCATTCCTCCCCTCCCCCCCTTAAAACAATCCTAGAATTACTCTATATACCAAAATAAAATACAGGTTTGGTTCTATAGCATTTAAATGGGAGAATTTGTACCAATTGAAAACTTTCTTGTATTAAGTGAAGGAGGGAAGATGCTTCCCATCCCCATAGATCTCCAATTTCCCTTTTTTAGTCCTCGAGTTTTAACTCTATTGGACTGACGGGTCGGACCGGCAGCTCAGTCTCAAGTTTCCTGCTAGGTGCAGGAGAATACGCCATCAGAATAATTATTTGCGAAAAGGGGCACCTCTTCCGGTAGCGCTCGACGTGATCACCTCATTAAATAACGTCACCCTCGGGCAAGCAGCAGGCAGCGAAACGCAGTGAACGATGGATTCACGACAGGCCCACACGTCATGGGAAAACTGGATGGGTCAGCAGCGCCGCTTAGAAAGAGGACGGAACCAGAGACCCCGAGCTCTAAACTCAGAGGCATAAGTGGGCTGTGGGTTGGGCGCGATCGGTTCCACATGGCCCGCCGGGGGAGGTTCATAAAGTCCGGTCCGGCGATGGAAAGTTCATCCGCGCAAGCCTCAGGCAGACATACAGGAAGTCGTAACCTGTGATTGGGAAGATTTTGAGCTCCATCAGGCAGACCCGACCGGCGGATCGGTTGGCAATCGAGTTACATGTTTGGTGCAGGCGAATACGCTAGAATACACTCAAAGGAGTCTTTTTCTCCAGCCGTTAACAGACGCTGGATGCCAGTTAACAGGCCTCTGGCGGACAGGAGTACATCGGCTATTATTATATAGATGTATGCAGAGAAAAATATTTTTGGAATTGTTTCAAAACACTGGAGTCCGATTCTGAGAGTGCAAACTTACGTGTGGAGCAACAAGTCCTTCATCGGCCAGCTATTGGCTAATGTAGCTCCTAAACTATAGCTCCTTGTTTGTCGACGTACGTGGGCATCATGCATTCAGGGAAAACTACCGTGAGTATTGGACGCCTCATTTTTACGTCGTGCATGTCCAGGCAGAATTTAAGGGAGGACTTCCCAACCTCTTTCATTCGTGATGTCATACATCACGATCAAACTTGGTCAACCACTGACCGAAGCTCAACAGGCTCTCACATCTATACGCTAAAATCCCAAATGAAAACATAACTTTGTTGCCAGTTCGCGACCCCAACTATGATCTTGGCGACCCCGAACAGGACCCTGACCCTTGGGTTGGGAAACTCTGGCATAAGCCCTTGAGCAATCGTTGTGAATCGCTTGTCTCAATTGCGTGTTTCAAGTGGGCACGGGTATTTTCTCGACGCGAAAGGCGAGACACTTATCCTACCAGTCGACGGTTTTATACAGGATTTTCTTAATTGGGGATAAAGGGACAAAATCACTCCTGAAAAGGCCAGATGGGTCCTGAAAGATCTGGTGGCCTGAATAATACATGTCCGACGTCACGACATCGCTGGGGTTCAACCACGCGATGTCCACATACTCATTGAGGCTGTTACAGTTCTGGAGCGTTTGTGGTTTAGAGCTGTGAGCTGACTCCTACACGGTCAAGGGACAGACTACTTGCAGTCCCATTACAAGGCAATGTAATGGTTGCAAAGCATTGTCTTTTCTCCTGCATCAGCCATTTCAGTGATCACACTTATGCCGATACCCCATTAGGGGTAAGCTTGATTTTGAACAGGGAAAATAGGATTATCGTATAATAGTGATTGGACCATGACTGATGAAGCGACAGTCACATTTAGGAGAAATGGAACAGCATTTCTATGTTGAAATTATTTTTCTGATGATATAAATGTACTCCTACTTGCTCTCTATATAGAAAACAAATATTAAAAATTCCGTTCAAATGAATGAAACAGACGTGAACTTGTGGACTTGCCTGATAATGAAAGCAAGCATCGTGCTTATGTTTTGTTTGCTTACAAACTTATCTCTATCATATGCATATATTTGTATTATCAGACATACTGTATATAGATTTTCTCCTGACATCAGGTTTCTTTCAGTAATCACATGTAAGCCCATCCTCTAGCAGCCAGTTGAAAAATTGTCATTAATAGGAATCATGAAAATCTTCAACTACATGTTCGTTGACTGGAATTGGTATGTCATCAGCAGCATCATCAGCAGTCATCAACAGCGCTCGTGGCGCGTTCGTAATGCTGTTTTAAATGTTCTGAGATTTCATTTCTTTTGCAATTTCAGCAGTTTCTGACCTACCCCGCAATCCCGTGCTTCATCAGCCATCCAACTCGTCGGGGTGTAGCTCCTAGTAATTTATTTTTGTTCCCTAAACTAAAGAATGTGCTGAAATGAAGGAGATTTTAGGTATTCAAAGCTCCTAGTAATTTATTTTTGTTCCCTAAACTAAAGGATGTGCTGAAATGAAGGAGATTTTAGGCATTCAAAGCAAAATTGTGAACGCGCCGCGAGCGCTGCTGGTGATTCCAAAAGATGAGTGTCAGCAATGCTTCCAGTGGCTGAAGAAACGCCGGAAAATTTGTGTAGATGCCGAAGAGGACGAGTTTAAAGGATATAACTATCAGCAGTCGGAAAGAGTCACCACAGCGTCACAAAAAATCAAGTCAAGAACTTTTTGATCAGACCTCGTAATTTTTAAGCAAATTCGTTTGCTCCTTGAAAGCACTCGAATTTCATAATTGAGCGGAAAAAGTAAATGTGCTCGATGGGATGAATTTGATGGCTCACACTACTATATAGTTACGTGTTTCTAACTTTGGAAATGATACTTTGGACGCGCAAACCCGAACTGGTCTCTATAGCATTTATGCTATAGCATGTGAGCCTACTCAGACAAATCTTGCACGACTGGAAGATTCTTTCCTCGATCTTTTTTTCACCAGAGGAAGCCCAGCCGCAGTCGAATGGGGCAGCTTCGGGGTGCGAACTCCGCATGCACCCAGACCAATTTTCATCTCCGTCTCCACAGGCTGGCGATCGTGTTAGGCAAAGGGACGAGGAACGAAATTTCCTCGACTCCCTCGGCTTTCAGAAATTCGATACGAGTGGGAATTTAATTTCGCCGATCCCGTCGAGGATCCGCCGAAACGAGAATCGCCTCGGTCGCGTCGCGATCCGTCCAATAAATTCTCCGTGAAGCAATGCCTTCTCGAAATCGCAGCCGGGTCGACGGCTTTTATCTGCGTTTAGTCTGTTCCAGAATCGGCTGAGCAGAAAAATTCACTTCCGTCCCGATGTCGTACAGGTCGAACACGAAGATCTGCAAGGAAGGGAACATCGCATGTATATTACACGCATTGTGTCCAAAACGAATGAATTCATAAATATTCTGAATTCACTTGAAATGCGGAGACGGATTCCCTTTCGCAAATTGTTTGTATTTCATGTAACAAGAAATGTTGGGGAATTTTTAAATTTATGCTTTCGAGAGCGCTAGAACAAAAAGCACCATGAACAATGTCTCCCTGCTCGGCGAAATTTCGCCGAAAATCGAAATCCTTACCCCTTACGAAATATCCACACATGTGGACTACCCTAAGTCCACCGGAGGATTTGGATGAATCCACATGTGGATCACATGTGGATTAAGAGGATCCACATAAGAGTCCACATGTGGATATTCTTATGTCCACATCAGTCCACACTATTCCACATGGCTGTCAGTCCACACGTGGATCACCCGGAGGATTTGGATAGTCCCCCGGTGGACTATAGGGGGATTTTTCGTAAGGGAACAATTTCCTCATCAGCTGAACACGGCCTCATGCTCCCTATTTTATGTCTATGAATCCTAATTTCTTGAACCAAGAGTCGCAAAATTTAGTTTTCATCATCTCCTGATTCCACCGAGACTTGCAGCACCCTTCAACGGAACTAGACGACGTAATTAATCGATTTCATTCGCGTACTTTCGCTAGAGAACGGTGTCGAAGGACTCCGAGCAGAAGGACGCTCACCTCGTTGGATCCGGTGCGAAGAAGAGGCCCGGGGACGTAGAGGGTCTGCGTGGGTCCGAGGTCCCAGAACCGACCCAGGTTCAACCCGTTCACGATCACGTTCCCTTTCACCCAATGCTCCGACTGTTGGAAGAGGTGAATCCAGGTGTCCATGGGTTCCCCGGTCACTTCCAGCGTGCCTCGAGCCAAGCACGGTCCCGTCGCGCATCGCTCCGGTCCCCAGCCCTCCAGACTAGACGACGAGTCGGGTCGCGATGAACACCTTTTAAGGCTGGGTGTTCCGGGTTAAGTGCCACTGTGGCCTTAGATATCCCAAGGAAAGAGGTCCTAAAATTGAGAAATCTCAGCATTTTCATGCAAGATGGTGCTCCTTCATATCGTACCAAACGTGTGCATGAGTACTTAGAGAATAATACTCCTGACTTCATTTGAGAAAATCAGTGGCCTTCCTCTTCTCCAGACTTAAGCACCCTCGACTTCTGAACATGGGACGAATCGAAGGGGCCAGTTTATGCTGAATGCAACACCCCCCTTTTACATTACTGCCGAACTGAAGGCTTGAATTGAGGGATTGTGGCCTCTTGTCGATGACAACCCAATAAGAAAGTGAATCAACCAATGGAAACAGCGTCTGAGAGCAGTCGTGGATCAGAATGGAGAACCCGATGAAACATCTCTTGGTCGAGGTCAGTCGCACATCTTTACGCACTCGCCCTTTTGATATCGCGCGAGAGAATAACTGTTACTCTAGAATTTAACAACCGATATTGTTTAAATTTTTGTGCCATTACTAGCACACATTGCATGTGAAACCCTGCAAATTTCCTATCGATAGCCCACACGGTATTCCGTCAGCAAGCGCGTAAAGTTCGGAACTTTTTTAGACCACCCGGTATATGTTCCGGTCTGTGACTGCCTGGAAATATCTCTTTAGAGCTTCTCAAGACCCAGGGCCATAGACTCTAATGACACCTGGTGACGCCTCCGCGCACGTCGAGGAAACCCTTCAACCGAATGTTGAGCTACGGGAAGGCACTGGAACGATAACTGCCCCACGAGATCGAGGGACTTTCCTCCTCCAGTGCCATCATTAGAAGCTGCCCGGTCGACGGACCGCATGAATCTATCAGGAGGGCGTTCGAGAGACGGACCGATGGAAGGGACGGACCTCGTGAGCCAATCGGGAAGAAGTTCGAGAGAGTAGATGGACCAATCGGAGATCTCCGTGCCGTCCCAGAGGAGAGGAGCTTCGAAGATTCCTTTTCTGGAGCCCATGAAATCCCCGACCTTGCCGTAGTTGATTCGACCCGTGTTCTCGACGACGACGTCCAACCGGTGCTCTCCGTCCGGCACGTTCGGGTCTCCTTCGATCACCACGTCCCCTCCCCTACGACAGTGAAACGCACCGATCGGTTCGCACTTCTGCTTTCCCGTGCGCAGAACTCGCTCCCCGTCTCTAAGGAAAGAGCGGAGGGAACTTGCTCGGAATTCCACTGTCCGGTGTTGTAAGTATCGACGATGCTGCTCAGCGGCAGAGTCTGCGGGATGCCATCCATGAGGACCAGCGACAGATCCTTCCCCCTCTCCCCGAACGTGAGCACCCCGTTCGCCGCCCTCAGGTTCCTCTTCCGGTAGACGACGAAGCCGACGCTCTGCCCGCTCCCGCCGTTCGCGTTCAGGTGCTCCATGCTCAGCAGCGTCTCCGACTCCGTCATCGGCTGACGAGAGTCCGGAACGCATCGCTAACGTCGCCTTCGACCGTCTCGGCCGGACTTCTATGACCGAAACTTTTCTCGGCCGGTGTTATCTCGCCAAATAAAGGAAGCTTTCGTCGAATTCCCCGAAACGAAACCTTTTTAATGCTTTTACGAATAGCAAACCCGAATCACTTTCCCAGTGGAGAAAATGAATGGATCTACGTTTTTACTTCCCATTGCTATGAAAAAAACATTGGCCAAAATATGACCAAAATTGCAAGGTATGTCCAGTTTTCGAGCTGGTTTTTACAAATCTGAACTGAACAGCGTCTAAAAGTGATTCCGGACATTCGATCTCGTGACTGTGCCCGAGAAAAAATGTCTGAAATTTCTGGAACCAAGGTGTGCTGGCCCACGGGGATCTCAACTGCGACATCACGTTAAGGGAAAAAATTGTATCGTATAAATCGATCGATAGCAGTTTTTCCCTCGTACCAGGCCTCGATCGATGAAGTCTTGAAGGCCGAGGTATCCCTGAAGCACGACTACGGGATATTGGACCTTGAGGTTCTCCGGAGGCCGGAGAGGGAGAGGGAGGTCCGGACCCATCGCGTTCTCCTGGATGTACGCGCACACCGCGTCGTATTTCTCGGTGTAGTCTCCGGCTTCCGTCAGGGGCGCGTCGTAATCTGTGGGGATTCGATTCGGCGTGCCATTTGTCTGCGTGGGGTTCGTGCCGTTGCGATCGTGCGACGGCAGCTGAAATTTACGTCGCGATCGGCTTCACTGCAATCATCATTATACGAAGTAATAATTTTTGGATGATATCTGAAGTCCTCGAGGGTAGGAATCTTCGTGCTCCCACTCGATTATTTTGCGGAACAGTGGAATGCACGGGAGACAAAAAAAATATTTACCGATAGCTGAGAAAACGTCGAGATGTACAAACGACTCATTCGGCGCGATACGGCCCTCGAGCCAGAGAAGTGGGTAAAATACCGTAAGAAGAACTTTGAGGCCAATAATTAGGGAAGAAGTCGAGGGAGTTGGCCCCGCTCATGAAACCCCGGGTGCTCCCTCCTTGGAACATGTACATGTTCACGCTCCCGTTGAAGCCGTGGAACACGGTCTCGATGTCGCCCAGAACGGCTGCCCGCGGAGAGAGAAAAAAATTTGAAAGCGAAACGAAACCCACACTTTCGCTCGAAAAAAAAATTCGTCTGAGACTTTGTATCGGGACGGTGTGATGGAATCCCCCCATCCAGTGATCGAACCATCCGACCCAGAGTTCCATGACCCAAGATGGCTTCCCCGGCTGAAGCTCTTGCAGTTTCCTCAGCTCCTGCTCCGCGGCCCCGCGGAAGTTCGCCGTCATCAGCACTGCGAAATCCGACGAGGATTCCAAAAGTCGCGATTCGGCACCCGATCGCGACACGATTCGCGTCGAAGCACGCCGATTGCTCCGTTCGTGACGCCACGGAATCCGAATCGGTCGAACCAGATGGCAAACGATGTCGTGCCGAGCGATCGCACCTTTTGCTCGTGGAGGAAAATCGATGGAGGTATAAATAGCGACCGGGAATGAGAATTTTCTCGCAGCCGAAGTCTCGGGTTCTTCGTGATCGGAACGTAGAACATCGATTCCGATGATAAACGATGGACGAAATAGGAAACGAAACCCGACCTCCGGTTTTTCAGAGGGAGAGAGAGAGAGAGAGAGAGAGAAGTCGGCGTCCACGGAATTACCATTTTGTACCGGTTCGAGATCGTTAAGAAAAAGAAGGCGGCGGCTGAGAGCGAGCGATTAACGAGCTTCCAATAAGCCATTCGGATTCCGTTCGAACGAACAAAACAAAAGTGGCATCCCTTTGGGCAAGACTCGCGCCCGGCTCGCATCCACCATGCCTCCCGCTTCACGTACGTCCCGCTTCACGCGCAGTCTCGAGCAACGGCTCTGTCGCATGTGGCAAGTCATCATCTGCGTTGCTTTTGTGGGTCGCGTTGAAATATTCGTCGCTCGGAAACGGTGACGACAATCAGTGGACCCCGCCTCGTCTCCTTCCCCTCTTTCCCTTCCATCGGTTGCACATTCGGCGCCCAGCGACGGACGCGGAACGAGGCACGGCAAGATGCTCCCTCGATGCCACGCGATCGGACCGTCACTCCGACGACACGCGCCGGAGATTCATAACGCTGCTCTTCGTTTTCCCATCGGACAGATATTACTCCAAACTATTCTCTCTTTTTTTTTTCCTCGTTTCCCGTCTCTTCTCCTTTCGAAGGAAAGCTGGAGCGGCGAATTCTCAGCCGACGAGCGTGACGGAAAGCAAGAAAAGAGGGTTAAAGCTAGGCGTAGGTCCAAATCCGACCCTTCGAGAAAGTACACCGCCACTCGTTTATCGCCTCGAGTCGACAAAGTAATCCTCGCGCTTTCTATCGTAATTACGCAAAAACATCCAAATTTCGGGGACAAATTGTGTTAAAAGAGAGAGGGATGATCGACAGACCCCCAGGAATGGCCCCCCTGTCCTCGAATTCCGTGGGCGTGTCCGACGTGAAGAAGAGAACCCGATCGAGGCCCATCTCGACCATGAGGTCCCTCACGTACACGAGATACGCCGTGTCGGGCTCCGCGTCTGCTTCCGGGAACACGCCGTACTCGTTCTCCACCTGATCCCGAGAGTCCAAATCACGCCTTCGTGCTCGTCGCGTGGATTCGCGCGCACGGGCGAGCAAATGCGGCTTCCGATGTAAACATGTACGTTTTTTATTTATATTTATTATATACTTATTTAAATATTTATACATTTATTAGATAATTATTTAAATATTAATTAATTCGCTATATATTTATTAAAAGATTTATTAATTTTTAAATTTAAAGATCCGGAGTAAAAGGAGAATAAAATTAAGACGATACGTTGCATTCGGTCGAGCGAAACGTTTCGGGAATTTCAGGCGAGAATCTCGTTGGAAATAGAGAAAAGGAACCTGAGCTGCGATGATCGGTCTGGGGTTCCCTGGACTCCATTGGTACTCGGCCAGGATGGGGATCAGGAATTCGAAGTACTTCCGGACTCGTTCCAGGTACTGGGGGTTGGAAGTCCTCACCACCATGTCAGGATCCCTCAGTAGATAGCTGAAATTATGTATTATATCTAATATATATAGACGATCGTGACTGACTGACTGACGCTAATTCTAACCATGTTCTAGAAGGGTTAGAAATGTGAAACTTGGTACACATGTACCTTTTGGGATGCAGAGTTCAGAAAAAAATCCCACTTTGGAGGTACATGCCCTGGGGGTACAAATTTTGGGGGGAAACGTTTTCCTTAAATATATTTTGTGACAGATGAGGATGGCATTCAGAGTGTCTATGTGCTGGGTTCGGTGGTGTCGTAGTAGCAACTCTAACTGCCAATCAGAATGTTTGGGTTCAATTCTCGGCCATTCCTTGTCTTTCGTTTGGTTTTTTTTTTGCCTTCCATGTCCCGTTACTCAATCCCCCACCATTACATTATTTTTGCTTGAGTAAAACGGAGAGACATGGAAAGCTGAAACCTGGCATGGACGTGCCTAATGAAACGATGAGTTCAGGAAAAATGGAAAATTTTAGATCCATGCCCTCGGGGNAAGGGACCCAAAGGGACCCAAAGGGACCCAAAGGGACCCAAAGGGACCCAAAGGGACCCAAAGGGACCCAAAGGGACCCAAAGGGACCCAAAGGGACCCAAAGGGACCCAAAGGGACCCAAAGGGACCCAAAGGGACCCAAAGGGACCCAAAGGGACCCAAAGGGACCCAAAGGGACCCAAAGGGACCCAAAGGGACCCAAAGGGACCCAAAGGGACCCAAAGGGACCCAAAGGGACTCGAAGGGATGGAGGGAGATCTGTTGGAGGTCGGGAGAGAACCGCATCCGTCATCCTTCATCTGCTCCGTAGGCTTCTTTCTTTCATTCCGTCTTTGTCAGAACTCTCTCTCTCTCGCTCTCTTCTCTCATCCTCTTCTCTCTCATTCGGCTGCTTCTCTCCGGTCGCTTTCCCCCGGATCCAATCCTGGAATTCCTTTATCGGGCGCGGTCGATCAATTGCACAAATGTATTCTATCCGGGAACGAGTCGAGCGGGTTGCTAGGGTGGGACGGTGGCCTTCACTGTGGCCTTCACTGTGGCCTCGACCGAGGCCTTCGTCGTGGCCTTCTCTGTGGCCTCGACTGTGACCCCGACCGTGGACGCTGAACTAGAAGGATCTGCAACCGAAGAGGAAGAAGACGCAGTGAAACGGGATGGGATGGACGCTGACCGAGGAAGAAGTGCGAACCGGGTCTTTCGATTCCGCCTCCTCGTGATTCTCTCGCGAATCTGGTGGATCGGCTCCATTTTCAAGACTCGGAGGTACGTAAGCGATCGTTAAAAACATAATAAAAAATACGTATGGAGCATCAAGAAATTCCAGAGCAACGGGGTCGAAACCTAAAAGGAATACGACGAGAGATGGGATTTTCCACTCGATACACTCCGTGGACGAGACAGGGGACTCGGAAACCCCACGCCCTGGCGCAAAGGATGGAGGACGCGAGTGCGAAGTCGCGAGAATGTCGACGGTCGAGCGATCGCAAAAGTATCACGTGATATTGAATTTTCTCTCATTTGGATTTTGTTTCTCTGGATCTCTCGGAGATCGGACGACCGACGGGCGATAGCGAGCATCAGCGACAGCTTCCTCTTTTCTCACGGTAAGCGAATTCATGGTTTTTCTGGACGTCACCGGACGCACGACCGTCCGCTCGCTCTCCCCTCGAAAGGGAAGACCCTTCCCCCCCCCTCGAAAGGAGAGAAACGCCAGACTCGGGACTGAAACCCTCTCACGGCTCAGACGCACCTCGGAAGGCCGCCGAACTCCCACTCGGAGCAGATGTAAGGACCCGGCCTGACGATCACGAACAGATCCTCCTCCTCCGCGACCCTCAGGAACTCCCGAAAGTCGACGAACCCCGACACGACGAACTCGTCCTCTCGCGGCTCGTGCAGATTCCACGGGATGTACCTGCCCCACGAGAATGCGAACCCCGTTCAGTCTCTCTCCGCCTCCCGCCCCGGACGGAAGCACGAGGACCGACGTCGTCACGGCGTTCAGACCGCAGGCTCTCATCTTCCTCAGACTCGACCGCCAGTGCTCCGGATGGATCCGGAAATAGTGCAGGGATCCCGACACCAACTGGATGTATTTCCCGTTCAACGCGAAGTCGGTCCCGTCTTCTTCCAGTCCCGATTCGATCCCCCCCGACGAATAATAGTCGTAAAGCTCCCCCGATTCCACCTTGCCTCCCTGCCGAATGCGAAATTCGTTTCTTCGAGTGCATGTATTTACGCATATTCACATTTATATAATGTATTAAAATGTTATAATGATTTAAATCAAATAATATCAGTCGACTGCTAATTCATACATTTACTTGCTATACTGTATCTGTTGATCCCTCCTGAGTTTAGTTTCCTCGTCTCCACGCAAAATACAACGCTTCTCTTACAAATATTCCTGCATATCCATTTATGTGGAAATCCTATTAGCTCACAAAAACTGACTTTTTTGCAAGTTCTCTTCCATCCGCGAGTATATCGTTTTCCTTAACATCCGTTTCCTTCCACGGCTGCGAACGCGAGGGGGAAGAGAAAATGACAAAAATCGCATGGAAAGGAAAATTTCTCTTCGTTTTTCTGATGCGATCGGACGTGTAAAGATTTTGGTACGAATCGTTTTTGCAGCCATTGGGAGTCTTGTATGAGTTCCTCGTATGTCTCGGTCTGTGGTCAGGCATAACTTGTTGCTTCTTCCTTGAAGCTCCACTGGAGGTAGAACAAAAACGGAACAACTACGAAAATTGAAAAGTAAAAAAAAGAAGGAAAATTAAACAATTGCCTTTTAGAAATTTCGACATCAGGAGGTGTTATGAGTTTTTTTATTTGTTGCTGTTACTTTTTTTGTTAGTAGTGTGAGTGTGACGGAATAAGGATGAAAAAGTGTGGGCGCAGACGGATCTACAAATCTACAGAACAAACTTTGTGGAAATTGAAAGGGGGGAAAGAAGTTCCTCGCCTTTTAGACCGCGATCTCTCAAGACATTTTGCACTCAAGGGTTTTAAAACTCTTCAACGCGTTAAGGGGAACTCTTCCTTTTTTTGTCAAATAAAAAACGCTTCTCGAAACTTCCAAAGAGGTTCTGCAGCTGAATCATTATTCTGATCACTTCACTAACACCAAGGACCGTTAATGGGTTCAATGGACCCTGATACAAAGATTGAGGCAATTGTGAGCTAGAAAAGTCCTGCACTCCTTGTACTTTCTTGAAGACATGTAATTTTAATATAATTAGGCAAATTATTCTTAAGAGATTATTTGGGAACGAAGAGATGAAACAAGGAGTGAAACATTTGACCATCCGGGTTCTGCTAGTCACAGGGTTGACCATCATTATTTAATCATCATTCAATCATTCCACAAAAAAAAATAAGAAAGGAGAAAAATTGGAAACCAGATAGAGGGCGATGCCGAGAAGCAAGGCGATCCCACGAAATTGCAACATTTCGAGTTGGAAACCTGGCAAGAGACTGCCACGGTGTAAACACCTTTTCGGATGGGGAAAAAAACCATTCCTGATCGAGATAGTGTGGGACATGTGGCAGATGTCGAGTGATAAATTTTGCTTTCGAGCGTGAGAAGCTTGCGTAACGTCTTATGAAAGTCAAATCCTGCTTCGAAATATCGGTGCGTCGAAAATGTGGTGCATTTCGTTCAAATTCTTCCCATTAATGAAAAATCTATTGGAGGGGACGAGAACGAAGCCCCACTTTCGATGCTTTCGAATTAAAGGACTGCCGTGAAACCGGAATGGTGACGAGACGTTAAAAAGAAAGGGCGGCAACGTGAATTTGAGGAACACCAGGCGGATTATCGGATAGGAATCTTTCGCGTAGCATTATGCCTTGAAGTTCGATGGAAAAGCTTCACGATCCAAAATGGCTTTTCCCTTTCTGCTTTGCTATCGATGTCAACGTTGCACAACATCGTTGGGATTACCACACACGAGAGAGAGCGAGAGGATGGGGAGGGAAACTGGGAGAAGGAGGGCGTGGGGAAGGGGGAAGGAGGAAGGACGGAAGGGGGAAGGAGGGAGGGGGAAAGGGGGAAGGGGTAAGAGGGGGGAAGGGATAAGAGGAGGAAGGACGGAAGGGAGAAGGGGAAAAGGGGAGCACCTGTAGTGATCGTTTCTCTCGGCGAGTTTTGAGCAGGGCTGGTTCCTCGCCTCTGCTAAACTTAACCTAAATACTGTATAAAGTTAATCTTACCTAAAAGCAGTCTAAAAGCAAAAAGTTCTGTTCCTCGCCCAGCCTCGCGCTAAAACTTCGTCTAAAAGGGAGAATATTTCCCCCGCTTTTAGACTGGTCCAACCCAGTCTAAATGCTGCCTAAATGTTGGGATGAAGGGAAAAAAACTCTCATTAATGTGTCCAATTCCACATGCGAGTCCAAAATCAATGCACACAACTGGCAGAGAATATTCACGTAATGTAACCCCGTGACGCGAGCTCGAACATCCCAGTTAAAAATCCCCTGGCTCTACTCAGAGGGACGCCTCGCATCGACCAGATCCGGGAGCATCTTCCCCGCTTGTCATCCGCGAGGTCAGCGCCTCGCGTCGTCACTCCTTTTCCTCTTCGGCGCGCACTTGAGTGCCGGTGAAACCCTCTCGCCGTATCCACCGAGCGACTCGAAGGCTCGAGTCTTCGCGAGGACTCGGAGAAGGAAAGGTAGCTCATCGTCTCACCTGCGCCATCGACCGCGTCGGAAGCGCATTACTCTTCTCGCATCCGTTCGGGCGAGGCCATTCGGAAATGATGTTCTTGCGGCACGTGATTTCGTCCTCTTCCGTGCACGATTCCGAGCCGATTCGTCTCGAGCGTGACGCAGAGGTTCCCTGTCGTAGTCGGCCTCTTTCCGAATTTCTCACGATGAACCGCGACGATGAAGTCCTTCCTGAAGATTCTTGACGGAAATGAAGTCCGAGTGTCGGGAGAGTTCGTGGCTTCTCGTGCAGAACTCTCGAGATCATATACCAGGTCAGATTCAACGTTTTTTTTCGGGGGAGGAGGCCAGACGCCTGCTCTCTCTCTCTAAGCTTAATAAATATAATTTTCAACTATGTTTAAACTACCTTCTTGGTAACATATATTACTGTAGTTATTAACCATTTAACTGCTATGGTAGACACGTGGAGTGGGTCGCATGCCGGTGAAAATGCGAAAGGAATTCTTTGAAACGACTTATCCCCAAAAAAGGGGTGAATAGAAGAAACAACAGTCTGCTGCTGTCCTATTCGCATTGCAGCATTCAGCCTAATTCTTAAATCGAAGAACCTTAAGGCGACGTTTAAAAAAAGGAGACCGGAATATGGGATAATCGGCATGAAAATTTCTCAGCATCTAGCACGACTATCAGCGGTGAACAACAAAATTTTAATTTCTGTTTTTATTCAAATTCGCCTTTAAGTACTATCTTCCGCCGAAAATCCTCCTGCAAATGAGCTGGAATTACCATGAATAGTTGTTCTCAAGGAATTTTCTTGGAATGAAGCTGATTTCCCCTGGGTCCTCATTTTCCAAAGCCATTTGATTCCAATCGACGCCCTAAGCCCGAAATATTTTCATCTGGAGAGTAATTGAAAGTTGAAAGCAATTATCACGAAGGGTTTTTGAAATTGACAGCACTCCTTCGACTCCCTGGAAAATAAAATACATGCTGTTGTGATTTCTCCTGAAATAGAGAAGTGTTCGTTACTTTTTTCACGGAGAAACAGAAAGGGACCGCCTGGCTCGAGTTAACAACGTTCTTCGATTCGAAACAGAAATGGAGGGGGGAAAAAGCCGGAAGAGGACTGCTGGGTTATGTGGATGGAGTCGAGAAACCTAGGGGAAATTTAATCGTGGTTTATGACTTATCCGAGGTAGGCATTTTTGTGACACAAGAGGGGAAGGGCAGAAAACGTAAATAATATTTTCCTTTGGAGGCAAATCAAAACTTAGAAATACGGTTTTTGATCAATGGATTATCTTATGAAACTCACATCAAATTTGAAGACAATTTTAAAAAAAATTGTCTGAGAGTAATGCAATGGAATATATCCTGGGAATCCAATGGACTCCCATTTCCCGGAAAATGGTTAAACGGAGTTACTCTAGGGGTGAATTGGGGTAGAAAGCCAGGGCGAAAACCAGTAGACGAGTGTCTCAATTTTCAATGTTTACATTCCTGCACGAAGCACGAACATCCCAGTGAATCGCTTCCCATTGAATCCCCCGAAACACCGACTGAGGATCCACACTCGACTCCGTTGCCAACCAGGCAGAATCCTTGGCAGTTGGCGAGGCCCCAGTGGGCGTCTCCCTGCTTGGCAGGAAGCAAGGCAGGTCCCCCCTCCCCCCCTCCCACACCCCTCTCCCTCCTCTCTCTCCCGGTCGCAGGCCAGGACTGGATGGTCGTAAAAATGGCCTTCCGCCTCTAGGGGTGGCCAGTTGGAAAACTGGCCAGCAAGACGCGCAAGGTTGTCAGAACCTCACTGTCATCGGCTTCATGGTACCAGTCGTCTTCCCTTCACGCACAGGTTCTGAACACCTACGATTGGAAACACGCGTCATGGAAAAATCGTAGGGAGGGGGGGGGGGTTCCTTTTGTCTCAAGGGGTAAAGAGACATCAATTGATCATCCCAACGCGACGAAATCCCGTGTAAAAGATAATTATAATAAATTACTACCGTCGAAGTAGCTTTGCAATTTAAGAGTGAGATCAGTGTTCCGAAGAAGGAAGTGGGGTACTTTTCTGAGAGGAAGTTTTCGGTATTCTGAGTATTCCGAAATAAAAGGGAAAGTCCAAGGATGGGACTCAATAAGGGTCCTTTTTGGCCCCAATATTGATGGGAAGTTAAAAATTAGCGCAGGCAGACGAAATCATTCCTGAATGTTAACCAATATATTGACTTCAAATGTTTGCCATATATTTATTTTCATTACACGATTTACCATCGTGGAAAACGCTTACAAATATCAGAAAGTAAATTTTTTAAATTGAAAATGACAATTTCCGTCTGAAACTTTATCGATGTGATTATTTTTATTTCACAGCAATATGAAAGACTACGGTGGCCCTCTCCTTGGCGAATTTCAACCCTTAATTTACCATTGCGATGAAACAAAAGAAGCGAAAGAAGCTAAATGTGGGACCGAGACTCAAAATGGCGTCTAGAAGACTCGAATCAAGTCTGAACGTCATGCAAGAAAATGAGAGGAAAACCTGCGGAATATCTGATGAATGGATACAGAGAGGGAGCTCTGCAGATAACGCGATTAAAATCTCCTTTTCTTCTTCCGTGAAGGCTCTCAGGGATGCATGCATTCAATCGAGCTGATGAACTCGATGAACCCGATGAACCGACCCCGATCGAACGCTCGAAAAATTGGCGAACTCGCCATTGGATGCAGCGTTTTGAGATAATTTAGCGGACATTGTCTTCGGCCTGCATGTATGCGTCATTCTTAGCTAATTTTTAGCTGGATTCAATCAAAATTTTTTTCTGAATTCATTCATGAGAAAATTATATTTGCTGTTTTCCATGTGCGATTCGGCAAAATCTGGATGATTTAAATTTTCATCGCTTCAGAAGAGGAATCCAGAAAGATATGGAGAACATTATGTTCATTCGCCGCCGTGCCGATTCCTGTTCCTACCCTATCCGATTCCTCGCCGATTCGGCGACGAGTCGCCTTTCTGCCTGGTTTCTGACCGGCAGGAATTCCTTTCTTGAAGCTACAATTTAGCATAATTTCACCTGGCGATCCAAGACAAAATCGATTCGAATATAATCTCGCGCGTCCGAGACGTCATCGGTGAAAGAGTGACAGAGAAACACTGCAGGAACAGCGAAAAGCTGCTTGAAGCTCGCAATGACACTTCAATCGATTCATTTCGGTCATTGTTTGGTGAGACTTGTGAATTCGCTTTTGGAGTCGAAAAGGCTTAATAGGCTGGATCGGATGGCATGCTCCTCTCAACTGTCTGAAAAAAATGGCAGTGCTATTATGAAACTGAGTTTTCTGCATAATTTTGCAATGAAATTAAATAGTTAAACAGCTGTATAGGCATTTAGGGACGAATTAATGGTCAGCCTGAGTTTTTGTAAGTATAAGCCTTATTTTTTGGCCAGTATTGTATACCTAATTCCCCCCCCCCCCCTAGATATCTCCCTT